GTTGTAAGTCGAGGACTAAACCGGTCGTAAGTTGGGGACTAAACCAGTCGTAAGTCGGGGACTAAACCGGTCGTAAGTCGAGGACTACCCAACCGGTCGTAAGTTGAGGACTTTCCCTGTCCGGGAGCGCCGCGCATGCGTGGTTCCGCCCCCTGCGCCGGCCGAGGCATAGCTGGCAAGCGGCAGAGACGGAGCAGGCCGACCACCAGCTGGCCCAGCCCAAGGGAGGTAAGGCACCCGCCGGAAAAGGGGAAAAAAATGGCGGACAGCCTTGCTTGGCGACCCCCGTGAAATGGTCGATCGACCCCAAATGGGGTCATGACCCATAGGTTGAGAACCGCTGTTTTAGCACTATTCCTTCATTACTACGCCAAGCCGCGCCTCTGGGGCTATTCTACCTGGGCTGCAACATTGCAAGTGACCCCTACTGGCGAAAAAGAGTTTTTGATATCATCCTGCTGCCCTCTAGTGGTGATGTAGGTTTTTGCAATCCAGCACTCTACTAACCAAGCTTCATGCTTCTTAATTCCCCCCCCCCAAGATCAGCCAAGATTGGCTACCTGCTGACATTTGCTGTATTTAAAAAGGGGGATAGGATTAATTAATATATATTTTTCCGGGAGCCCCATTATTTTTGGAAAATGAACCCCAAGAAAGCAGCTTCTTGCCTAACCCTAAATCTAACCCCGTATTGCCTCCTGTGTTTTTAGAGTTGTAACTGAGCATGTTTTGATGTCCATAAACTGACAGACATTTCAGTGACGGTTCACTCAGTTCCATTAATTAACTCAGATGCATTCATCCATCACAATGGCCTTAATTTGATTTGCTCTTGGATCTGTGTTGCGTGAAGTCTATTAATTCATAGTACATGTTCTTACACAGGTAGTCCTTGACTTATGACCACAACTGACCCCCAAAGTTTCCATTGCTAAGCAAGAGAGTCGTTAAGCAAATCACTGCAGTTGGTCAGGAAACATGGCTTCCCCCATTGGCTTTGTGTGTGGGGTTGCAAATTGTGATCACATGACCCGGGACGCTGCAACTGTCGTAAATTCACACCCACTGCCAAGTGTCGGAGTTTTGATCACATGACCACGAGGACGCCGCAACAGTTGGACGGGTGAAAATCCCGGTCATAAGTCACTTTTTCCAGCAGTACTGTTGTAACTTTGAATGGCCAGTAAATGAATGGCTGTAAATGGAGGACTATCTGTACGTATTACAAGAATCCCCTCCCAAGAGGCTGATTCAAGAGTCAAATAAAGCAGATCCTGTGAAGGGGACACACAGAGTAAAATAGCAACTAGATATTGCTCATATCGTGCAGGAAATCAGAAAACAGGATTCTCTTGGTCAATTTTTTGATCATTTAAAAGAGAGGAACCTGCCCCCACTTTACATCGGAGGGGACTGTGTGGAGAGAGTTTCCTCCATTAAATTCCTGGGAGTGTACCTCCGTGAAGATCTTACCTGGAAAATGAATACAGCCCAGGTAGCCAGAAGGGCCCAACGGAGACTCCACTTTCTCAGGGTCTTGTGGAAGAACAGGGTAGAACGACGACTCATGACCCTCTTCTACCGGTCTACTATCGAAAGCGTTCTCACATACTGTATCATGGTTTGGTATGCTGGCTTGACAGCCACGGACAGGAAGGTATGACAGAGGGTGGTGAGCATGGCACAAAACATCGTGGGCTGTTCCCTGACACCACTGGATGACATCGCCAGGGCCCGTTGCCTTGGCAGAGTGAGGAAAATTCTCAGGGATGACTCACACTCTGCTTGGTACCTCTTTACTCTCCTACATCGGGTAGGAGATACAGAAACATAGCCAGCCGTACCAACAGGCTGAAGAACAGCTTTTATCCATGAGCTGTCAGGCTCTTGAATGGGACATAAATAATAATTTCATGCACGACAGACCCGCGAGGCCGGCGTGCTGTGCAATTAGCTCACCGGGTGTAATAAGTTGGGGGTTTGTTGTCACTGTGAGTTGTGGTGGTTGGGGGGCACGGAAGGAGGCTCAGCCAATCTCACTGTATACATGTTATACTTTGATAATAAAGGCTCATTCATTTAAGGTAGAGGTCTAGGCCCACCTTGCCTCTGAAGTCCAAGGGGGAAGGTGGAACATACCGTGCACCTCAGCTCCCCCACCCCCAAAAGGTGCTCACTCACCTGAATACCCATAGGGCTCCTGTGTTCTCCCTGCTCCAAAGATCCCATGTGGAGGATCCAGCAGAGGCTCGAAGCGATGCTTGCTCGGCGTGTAGGTGCTGATGTGCTCGGAGCGGAAAGTGGACGAAGAGCTCCGTGAAGACATGGCCTTGGGGGTCCACCGTGACTGCTGGATGTGCGCAAGTCTCTCTGCGTGGAGAGGCAAGGAGGAGAGGGCACGTCCTTGGGCAGGCCAAGCCAAGATGCCCATAATTGGCTTTCTGCAATGTCCTTTTGCATCCCACATGCTGGAATGCGAGATAAGGAGCTGCCATTTCAACCACAGGGAGAAGCAGAGCAGAGCGACACTCGTCCTAATCAAGGAGAGGAGCAACTGGAATGAAGGAGAAACTTGACCCAAAGGTTGTTTTTTTTTTCCCACAAGGCAACTGGATGTTCTTGTTTTTCTTTGAAGACGTTTCGCTTCTCATCCAGTTGTGGTTTCAATCGGCGACTGCTTCATTGAATGACTAAGTTGTTGGTCTCAATTGTGGTTGTTAAACAAGGACTGCCTGCACTTTTCAAATCATAGGCAACCATGAGCACCCCCTTGTTCTGGTTTAGTCCAGTGCCACCTTGAGAACTGTGCCTTGCTCTGGATACCACTTTTTTAATGAATGAAGGTGAATATACATGTCCCGGGATAATGTTCAGAATCAGAATCAGAATGGAGCTGGAAGGGACCTTGGAGGTCTTCTAATCCAGCCCCCTGCTCAAGCAGGAGATTCTATATCAATGGTTCTCAACCTTCCTCATGCCGCGACCCTTCTAGAGTCTCAGCATCTTTTTTACATCATGGTGACCAAAACTGGATGCAGTATTCCAAGTGTGGCCTTACCAAGGCATTGTAAAGTGGTATTAACACTTCACGTGATCTTGATTCTATCCCTCTGTTAATGCAGCCTAGCACTGTGTTGGCCTTTTTGGCAGCTGCAGCACACTGAATTCAAGCAGAAGCCAAGCCTCCATCTGGGAGTGATGCTGTCACTCCGATGCCAGCACGAATCCTGAATCACTTGGAGTCGATGGTCTCCTTTTCAACTCTACAACTCCCAGGCACTCTGAGAACCAACAGAGGAAATAAGGGAGGTTGAGGTAATGGAAAGCAAAATGTCAGTTCCATTTAGCTTGTGTGATAGCTTGTTCACACATGCAAATGATCGTTTGTTGCCTTCAGGGACTTTTATGCATGTGTGAATAGTCACACTCAGATTCCAATTTTCCCATACTGGTAGTCCTTGACTTACAACCATTCATTTAGTGACCGCTCTATGTTACAACAGTACTGGAAAAAAGTGACTTACAACCAGTCCTCACACTTATGACCCTCATGGCATCCCCTCTGGTCACATGATCAAAATTGAGGCACTTAACATCTGGCATGTATTTATGACGTTTGCAACACATCATAAATGGAGTCATTAATCATCATTTGTGACTTTCCCAGACAGATTCCAACAAGCAAAGTCAATGGGGGAACCCGGATTTGCGTAACGGCCACATGATTCACTTAACAACTGCAGTGATTCACTTAGCCACCAGGGCAAAAGAGGTCATAAAGTGAGATGTGACTCACTTAACGATTGTCTTAGCAATGGAAATTCTGGCCCCAAATGCGGTTGTAAGTTGAGGACTACTTGCCCCAAAGGTGCTTTTTCAAGAGACAACTGGACTTCCTTGTTTTTCCTTCGAAGACGTTTCGCTTCTCGTCCAAGAAGCTTCATCAGTTCTGACTGGATGGTGGGGAATGGAAGGATTTATACTCCTTGCAGACAGCTAGTCATTTGCATTCTTTTAGAGAGCCGTTGAGGCCACTTGGAGATTTACCTGTGTCCTCAGGGTCACCTGAGTAGTGCAAATGAGTGTGGAGCCTTCTTATTTATTAGTCTAATCTGGGTTCCATCATTTTTTCAGAATACTTTCCCTTTCTGACTCTTTCAAGTCATCCCTAAAGCAAACCACAGATTTATCCGTCTCTTTAAAAAAAAAACAAGTAAAGATTTCCCTTATCCTGTTAAATTCAACTCTAGGGGACGGTGCTCATCTCCATGTCTTAGCTGAGGGACTCAGCTTTGTCAGAAGATACTTTCATGCTTATGTGGTTGGCATGACTAGACGCCGAGGTGCATGGAACACTGTTATCTTCTGTTAAGATATTTAACAATTTAGTAGCTGGAGCAGTGGGGTTGTGCAGTGAGCCTTAACATACAGTTGTGATTGATTGGTCGGAGAGTGCTGGCTCCTGCGTGAGGCAATCTATGCTGTGATTGGTTGCTATAGGTGTGGAGGGGAGTTTCCCTTTTTTCCCGCCTTTTTTTGTTTTGTGTGCCCTGTATGTCCTGTGATTTACCTCATGATGCTCCTGTTTGCCTGGCTTTCTTGTTTGCTGTAAATATAGATGTAAAATATATTTATTTATATAAAACTACAAATCTGTGTCAGCGTCTGACTTCATTCAAACACCTGCTGCCTAATTCCCTGACTATGAAAAGCCCTCAGAATATAAGATCCAATGCCCATTGTTAAGATATTTAAATTTAGTAGCTGGAGCAGTGAAGGGTTGTGTAGTGAGCCAGAACACACAGTTGTGGTTGATTGGTTGGAGAGTGCTGGCTCCTGCGTGAGGCAATCTGCGCTGCGATTGGTTGCTGTGGGTGTGGAGGGGGAGTTTCCCTTTTTTCCACCTTTTTTCTTCTGTGTGCCATGTTTGCTCTGGGATTTACCTCATGATGCTCCTGTTTGCCCGACTATCTTATTGGCTGTAAATATAGATGTAAAATATATTTATTTATATAAAACTACAAGTTCATGTCAGCGTCTCTGACTTCATTTGAACAGTGGCTGCGCAATGCCCTGAAACCTTCCCTCTCTTAGTTACCCCCCAATTCTCACAAAATGACCAGCAGAAAGTCCAAATACCTTTCTTTTATTTATACCCGGTTTCCCATTTTTGAGCTACAGAGTTTGACCGTACGCGGTGTCTACAAACCATGGGGAGTGGATCTCAGAAACAATCATTTGTGGCTTACGACTTGCAATGGGAAACGGGACAGGCGGAGGAAATAAGTAAATCGATGACTAGAGAATTGACATATGAACAGCGTTTAATGTTAATTACATGGAAAGGAAATCACAGGTAATCTTCAACCTGGCTCCGCCCACTCTTTTGGGGAATGCGACATTTGTAGGCCATTGAAAAGCCAAGTGCGGCTCTCCATTGCAGACGGGAATGTCCATGGATAATGGCCCCCAAAATCAAGATGATGGACCAAAAGTCAGGATGACAATCATCACAGCTGTCATCTTGACATTTTGGATCATAACCAGTGGACATTTCTGGCTGCAGAGCCTTGGTTGCACACAGCGCAAGCACAGTTAGTAGAAAGTGTCAAATCCACCAGCCTCAGCCAAACTGAATTACATTTTTTTAATTACATAAAAAAAAAAAGAATAAAAGCAGATACCAAACACTCATACTAGATACAGGTAGTACTCGACTTACAACCACAATGGAGCCCAACATTTCTGTCCTTAAGTGAGACATCTATTAAGTGAGGTTTTGTCACTTTTCTTGCCACAGGTTTTATGCGAATCACTACAGCTGATAAGTTAGTAACATGGTTGTTAAGTGAACCTGGCTCCCCCCCAATTGATTTTGCTTGTCAGAAGGTCACAAAAGGGGATCACATGACTCCGGGACACTGCAACGGTCGTAAGTATGAGTCAGTTGCCAAGCATCTGAATTTTGATCATACGATCATGGGGATGCTACAAAGGTCGTAAGTGTGAAAGAGTCATAAGTCACTTTTGTCAGTGCGGTTGCAACTTTGAACAGTCACTAAATGAACTGTTTTAAGTTGAGGACTACCTGTACTCCAAAAGAAATCCAGGAAGGCAGGGACGGGAAGAAACAAAGCTGTCGGAAGCAAGGCACAGAAAAGAATGAGCAAAACACAGCCCGGTCAGGTAGAACCACCTTTTTAATGAATTTACAGATACAAAGTAAACGAAACGGACACTCGTACCAGGCCGGGCTATACATCAGGAACAAGTTGGGTGAGAAAATAGTGACACACAGAAACAATACTGTGCATTTGGACTGGGACACAGGAATGCAAGGATCAGAGAGGTTAGGGGGAGGGAGTAAAGGAGAAGGTGATGCCCTAGGCTTCTTCAGGCATCAAGGGGGAGGCAAGACAGGAGTCCGTACAGAGATTTGGGGGGGGGGGTGTAGGGAAGGGTACGTGCGACCGTGCCACCAAATGGACTGGTGTTGCACAAACGATGCAGGAGAAGATGGGCTTAGCAAGGGAGGTTCTTGAACAAGACACGTTTTTGTTCCCTCCGCATCTCACCCTACTTCCTAGCGGCCTTCGGGTCTTCTGGTGAAAAGCCCCTACTCACCCGTGACCACCTGTGTAGGCCTTGCTGCACTTCAGGTGGAGGAGTCATGGTGAGACTGAACTCTCCTTTCATCCCTGAGCCAATCGAAAGCTCTCCAGCCTTACCAGGTAGTTGGGGGCAAAAAATCCCAACCTTTCTAATCTCCATGAAGTCTTGGGACTTCCTGGAATAACTGGGACACTAAGCCACCCCATGACTAGTTATTTAATTCCCATGAATAGTTGAGTGATCCAAGACTTCCCCCAATAGCCTCCCAACACCCTGCTCTCTACAACCTCTCCTTCATTAGAAGAACATCAACTGTGGTGATAGACTAGTCCTTGATGGTCCTCCCACCAGTCACATCCCTTCTTCTCAGATCAAAAGAGCTATTTTAGACAATCTGCTCTGAAGACATTTGAGAAGGGGCTGCCACAAAGAAGAGGGAGTCAACCTATCCTCCAAAGCACCCGAGGCAGAACAAGAAGCAAGGGATGGAAACCAATCAAGGAGAGGAGGACCAACCTAGAACTGAAGAGAAATTTCCTGACAGTGAGAACAATTAATCAGTGGGACAGCTTGCCTCCAGATGTTGTGAGTGATCCATCACTGGAGGTTTTTAAGAAGAGATTGAACAACCACTTGTCTGAAATGGTATAGGGTCTCCTGCTTCAGCAGGGGGTGGACTGAAAGACCTCCAAGGTCCCTTCCAAATTCTGTTATCCAGCTCTGGATCTTACAAGATTCAGTAACCCCACCTGGTGGAAAATGTAATTTACAAAGAGTTGGGCAATGGCCAGAGTAAAACTAGGAAGAACTTCTCCCAATGTCTTTCTAAGACAGGCTTCCCAAACCTTTTCCTCCATTACACAACATCTCTTTTCAGAAAGTTCTTTTTATTGTTCATCAGAACGTCCTTAGTTACTGGGTAATAGATTTGTGTGTCACTACTCAAAGAAAAACCACATCTACCCAAGTATGAGCAATTTATCCAGGTTTGGGAAGCACTGGGTTAAGAGACATCGAGACAGCAACTACGGTCCAGCCAAGGGTGTCCTTAGACTGTGGTCTCAAAAATCCAGAAGGCAATAGTTTGTGTTTATGTCCGTTTGGTCAGAAAAGTCAAGATGGCAGCTGCAATGACATAAACAAATCAGATCTTCAATAACAGCAAGGTTGCCATCTTGACTTTTACAACCACACCCTGTTGACAACCTTGTTATTCAAATCTTTTTATCCAAGTCAGATGCACGAATATTGGTGCTGATGGGACTTTTTCTGGGAAAACATACCCAGTAGCTCTCCAACTGATTTAGTCGTCCTTCTGCCCCCCAAAAAACTTTGCTAAAACTGGTGTGTGGACAACCTTAGGATTTTATCTCTGTATTCTCAACCCTTTTACCAAATTACAATTCCCAGAAACCTTTGAAAGAAGCGGTGACAATTACGTCAGGATAAAACTGATTTGGATCATTAGGGGGCTGATCAGCTGTCCTTTACCCAGTGCTCTCTAGAGCACGGGTGTCAAACTCGCCATGTCACATGACGTGTTGCGACGTATCGCAACTTTTTTTTGCATTGCCCGAGCTGGGGTGGACACGGCCTCCACATGATGCAACCGGCCCACGGGCCGGCAGTTTGACACCTCTGCTCTAGAGTTTGGAGTGGGGACCTAACACCCCCAAATTCCCAACCAGCAAGGTCAATGTCCTTGTTATCTCAAGATTCATGGAGATCCCAGCAAACCATGATGCAGATCTATACCGTCCCTGCAATGATGACTCAGCATTCGTGACATCACTGTGACTGGTTGGTGATGTTGCACCATCCAAATCCATTTAATGTAGGGTTGGAGAAGAGGTGAGAGGTCAGAAGAGGCCATATGGAAGAGAGACACTCATGCTTCTCAACTGCAATCACTTTAAGGTGTATGGACGTCAACTCCCAGAATGCCCCAGCCAGCCAAGACTGAGGCATTCTGGGAGTTGAGGTCCACGCATCTTAAAGTGACTGAGGTTGAGAGCCACTGCCTTAGGGCAAAGGGGAACAGGTGAAGATCATAGTATTCCCAACCTAGATGGGCCACGATGGGAGAGCAGAGCAGGGGATAGGGTACCCTAAGGAAATCCATCCATCTAGGGGCACCAAATCCCGGAAAGACAGAACATGGAGACACACGTACAAAACTATAGAAAAGATCTGGAACAAGGTCACGTGGATTCAGCTCGTGCTCTTTGCTTCCTTTCCAAAGAGATGGGGGAGGGGGGAAATGGAGCAAATCAGCACACACTGGGGCATCTCCACCACCCCCCTATTCCCCCCCCTTTCTTCCAATGGGTCCACAGTATAAAATCTGAGACAATAAAGCCAAGGATTGCCCTTTGGGCTGGGGTGGATTTTTTTTTTCTTGTTTTTTTTCTCCTTTTTTTTAAAAAAAGCATAACAAATCGCACATTCTTGTTGCATTTCATGTCCCGTTTCAGCTCTTTGCCACAAACCACAGGAGCCAGGTTGGGAAAGGGGGCATACAGGTAATCTCGAAAGTCTGTCGAGTTTGGTAGTCTGAAGAAGAGAAATGATTTTGGCTTGAAAGAGCGTTAGCCATGCCACCTGGACAGCGCACGAGGGCCCCTCTGATTCCCGGGGCACCACGATTGGATTTCGCCCAATGTTCCCCGAGCCTCCCCCTGAGTTGTGGTGACTCCCACCAGCGTCGCCCTTCGTTGCTCGGCGTCCTCACCCTGCCCCGAAGACATTCCCATGCAAAGGAAACAAAACAGGCCACGAGAGAAAAAGAGAGAAAATGCAGCAGGCAAAATCCACAAAGCCACTAAGCAACTCCTGAGGCTTAAAGGGTGGCGTCGGAGGGCACCGTGGTGCTCAGGAAGGCCTGGGAGGGGGAGCTCTTGAACCCGCCACTCCTGCCCATGCTGCCTTCATTCATCCAGAGGGGGAGGAACCATCCCGCTGAGACAACTGATGGGCCATGGAGCTGGGTGGACGAAAGGTGCCATGGAGCGGGGCAAAATGGCAGGTGAAGCATGCCACGGAACGGAGCGGGATTCACGGCTCTTTGGTGTCCTCCTCCGGGTCTCCGTCGACCTCGTCATCTTCGTTGTCGTCGAGCGACACCACGCCGGAGGAGGCCACATCAGAGACTTTTCTCCGGACCTGGCAGCTGTCCCCGTGGACTTTGTAGTCCTTGCACGGAAGGCCCTCCTCCTCCGTGGGCGAGAGGCAGGACTCGGTGAAGGACATGGAGTACATAGAGTCCTGGCACTCCAGTTGTGCCAGGCTCCGGAAGGCACATTCTCCGGGAGTCTGTGTGGGCTTGGACAGCAGCATGTCCTCCCCGCCAGACACGGAGCCCAGCAGTTTGGCGGCAAGTTCCGAAGGGGAGCCCAACTCCTTGAGAAGGAAGCTCTCATCAAGGCTGCAGAGACTGGAGCACAAGGTCTCTGGGGAGATGGTGGACTGAGAAGATTCGCTTTCCGGGTCGCAAGAACCCTGTCGGGAACTCAGATGGCACAGGCGGCTGTGCAGGAAACCTTTCAAGAGGGTGCTGGTGGGGAGCTGGCCCACTGCATCTGCAACACAACAACCAAGAGGGAAGTGGTTAGCATTGCAGCATTTCAGTTGAGTGAAAAGAAGGACTTAGGGGTGACGTGATAGCAATGCTCCATTATCTAAGGCAGGGGTCTTCAAACTTGGCCCTTTTAGGACTTGTGGACTTCAACTCCCAGAATTCCTCAGCCAGGTATGCTAGCTGAGGAATTCTGGGAGTTGAAGTTCACAAGTCCTAAAAGGGCCGAGTTTGAAGACCCCTTGATCTAAGGGGCTGTCACAAAGAAGGGGGGGTTCAACCTCTTCTCCAAAGCAACAGAAGGCAGGACAAGAAGCAATGGATGGAAACTAATCCAGGACAGAACCAGCCTAGAACTAAGAGATTTCCTCACAGTTAAAACAGTTAACCAGTGGAACGACTTGCCTCCAGAAGTTGTGGGTGCTCCAACACTGGAGGTTTTTAAGAAGAGACGGGACAACCATTTGTCTGAAATGTTATAGGGTCTCCTGCTTGAGCAGGGGGTTGGACTAGAAGACCTCCAAGGTCTCTCCCAAGTCTGTTAGTGTGTTATTATTTTAATAACCTGGCCACCACCCTAAATGTGGAATGTGGCCACCACATTCCACAATGTGGAATGTGACCACCACATTCCACAATGTGTTGCGTGAACCTAGCCTGCCTTAGAAGCAATAAATAAGCCCATTCAAAAGTGTAGGATCTAACTTAAAACAGCTTGGAATAAATCTAGTTGGCCAGTCAGCTGCACAGAACTTGATGGATGGGTTACTTAGATTTCCCATCTACTCAGTTGTAGATACAACAGCTCCTTTCTACAGCAGCCTGCTCCCTTCCAGGGCAAACTGGACTAATGATGAAAGTTGAATTTCAAAATGTGATCGGGAAAACGTTTAGATTAGAGCCGATGATGTTGCGTAGTTTGGGTAATCAACCATCTGCAAGAAAACAGCCTAGCTCAGAGAGACGAAAGGCCCCTCACCCTTAGATGGTTTTCCCAAGCGAACCACCCATGCTAATTCTGGCGACACATTTCTTATAGTGGAAATATTCTCAGTTTTTAAACCATGAGGTAAGTTGAAACCATGAGGTAAGTTGAAACCATGAGGTAAGTTGAAAACATGAGGTAAATTAGCGACATCTTTTTTGTGTGTATGGTGGGGAATTTTTGCATTGGCAACCCCCCCCCCCCTCATGCCTATCAGGTACACATTCACAACCAGAAAAGATTTAGGGGGCTCATCCAGGCACTGCCTCTGTTTCTTGGCCACATATGATAGAGAGGACTAATTTGAATTCTCCTTAGACAGGGGTCTTCAAACTTGGCCCTTTTATGACTTGTGGACTTCAACTCCCAGAATTCCTCAGTCAGTGTTGCTGGCTGAGGAATTCTGGGAGTTGAAGTCCACAAGTCATAAAAGGGCCAAGTTTGAAGACCCCTGTCCTTAGAGGTTACACCGTGTGACTAACTTTCTTTGATATGCAAATAGACCCAGGTTTGTCAGCAGCCAATTGTAAGGAAAAGAAAGCTTTCTTTTGCCTCAGAGAACACAGACTACACACTTTGTCAACACATCTGTGTCAGCTGAGGGGATTTTGGTGGACACAAAAAGCTTCTGGAGGCCCAGAAGTCCTTCATGTGAAAGCAGGGGTGAGCAGCGGAGAGAAGCTGGATTTACAAGCTTGTCTGAAAGGGCAGCTGGAACACTAATCAGAGCATCCAAGTGGGTAGATCCATATTTAGAGCTTTTCTCCGCTTGCACCACGCAAGTCCTTGAAATATCCTTCTCGTTTTTTCTGCTATGCCCTTGGCAAGGTTTTTCTTTCGTCTTATCTCCAACCCATGAGCGAGAGGGGTGATTTTGTCCTCGTGAACTGGATTGAGACAGTGCCCTGTGACAGGATGTGTCCCTCAACAGGGGCCAAGCTAGCATGGTGATTGCACAAAGCTTGGTTTGATCATTTTGCAGGATGGGTCTCCTCCTCTTCCTCATCTCCTCCTCTTCCTCCTCCTCATCATCTCCTCCTTTTCTTCTTTTTCTCCTCCTTTTCTTCTTCTCTTCTTCCTCTCTCCTCCTCTCCTCTTCCTCCTCTTTCTCCTTCTCTTCTTCTTTATCCCTCCTCATCTCCTCCTTCTTCTCTTCTTCCTCCCTCCCTCCTCCTCCTCTCTTCCTCCTCCCTCATCATCTCCTCCTCCTCTTCTTCATCCCTCATCATCATCTCCTCCTTTTCCTCTTCCTTTTCCTTCCTCCTCCTCCTCCTCCTCCTCTCCTTCTCCTCATCCTCTCATCATCTCCTCTTCTTTATCCCTCCTCTTCCTCATCTCCTCCTTTTCTTCTTCTTTTTCTCTTCTCATCTCCTCCTTCTCTTCTTCCTCCTCCCTCCTCGTCCTTTCCTCCTCCTCCTCCTCCTCCTTCCTCATCATCTCCTCCTCCTCTTCTTTATCCCTCCTCCTCCTCCTCATCTCCTCCTTCTTCTCTTCTTCCTCCCTCCTCCTGCTCCTCCTCTCCTTCTCCTCCTCCTTCCTCCTCTCCTCCTCTTCTTCATCCCTCCTCCTCCTCTTCATCTCCTCCTTTTCCTCTTTTTTCCTCCTCCTCCTTCTTCTCTTCTTCCTCCCTCCCTCCTCCTCCTTCTCCTCCTCCTTCCTCATCACCTCCTCCTCCTCTTCTTTATCCCTCCTCATCTCCTCCTTTTCCTCTTCTTTTTCTCTCCTCCTCATCTCCTTCTTCTCTTCTTCCTCCCTCCCTCCTCCTTCTCCTCCTCCTTCCTCATCATCTCCTCTTCCTCTTCTTCATCCTCCTCTCCTCCTTTTCCTCTTCTTTTTCTCTCCTCATCTCTTCCTTCTTCACTTCTTTCTCCCTCCTCTCCTTCTCCTCCTCCTTCTCCTCCTCCTTCCTCATCATCTCCTCCTCTTCTTCATCCTCATCTCCTCCTTTTCCTCTTCTTTTTCTCTCCTTCTCATCTCCTCCTTCTCTTCTTCCTCCTCCCTCCTCCTCATCCTCCTTCCTCATCATCTCCTCCTCCTCTTCTTCATCTCTCCTCCTCCTCATCTCCTCCTTTTCCTCATCTTTTTTCCTCCTCCTCCTCCTCCTCCTCCTCCTCCTCCTCCTCCCTATCTTGAGACTGCTTTCTTAGTTAAGAGGATCTTCTACAGGAAGAAAAAATACTTTTTCCCTGCAAATAGTGCTGACATCAGGAACTCCGAAGAAGCCCTATTGTGCAGGGGTTTAAAAGGGTTTTTTCCCCCCCTTTTGTATTTTATATTTCAATACACTCATAAAAAAAATTCAGTGCCTAAAGGAACTTTCCAGATGCAGAGTGCTAGATTTGCATTGAGGCCTAGATTTTGGAATAAAGTAAGTGGATCTCTATTTCTTTCTTTTTTCGCCAGCTTGGTTGGGGGTGCAGCCTCCGGGTCTAGCCCCGCTCGGCACGGCCAACTCACCACATCCAAATCGCTGTTGGACAACTTTCCATGGGACAACTCGTTGCGGGACAAGGGTTACACCAGGGGTCTTCAGACTTGGCCCTTTTATGACTTGTGGACTTCAACTCCCAGAATTCCTCAGCCAGGCACGCGTGCCTGGCTGAGGAATTCTGGGAGTTGAAGTCCACAAGTCATAAAAGGGCCAAGTCTGAAGACCCCTGAGTTACACTAATATCGAAGGAATGGTGGAATAGAACCATTAAAGAAAGGACGCAAACGGAAGGACAGAATGAAATGTGAAGGACAAAAATTAAGATCTTTTTTTAAAATTACTTTAAATACTTAAATTGAACTGTTGAATTGTCCCACAGCGAGTCGGCCACGGAGAGTGGCCCTGCTGCATGTTGGCCACAGCAAATGGGCCGTGGCAAATTGGCCGTGCCAAGTTGCCCCATTCTGGCAGCCTCCTGTTTGCTTTCAACTTAATGGAGACACCAAGTCTCCTCGCTTACCAGCTGCTTGGGCGGTTTCAGCGGAAGTGGGAAAATCTTCATCGTAAGACTCATCGTTGGAGTCATCCCCCTCCACGGACGACCAGGCTCTGAGTTTGGCCTCGGCGATGGCAAACTGTTCGGCTACACCTAGGGAGAAAGGAGTGTTGTTGTTTAGAGGAGGTGAAACACAGGATGGTGGAAAGCACGGCTGAAGAGCCATCATGAAACTCAGAAATCCAAGCTTTGTACCTTACCAAACTGGAGTGACAAGCTGGGGAAAGATTAATCTAGTAGATTTTAGACCTCCCGCTGCTTGATAAAAGTTGGAAAGCCGTCTGGGAGAAAATGTTCCATAATATAGATTCATAGAACATAGATTTACAGGGGTAGGCAACCTTGGCTCTTTTATGACTCGTGGACTTCAACTCCCAGAATTCCTGAGCCAGCCGTGCTGAGGGGAAAGGGAGAGGTTTCCAAGCTGAGCCATGCTGGCTCAGGAATTCTGGGAGTTGAAGTCCACGAGTCATAAAAGAGCCAAGGTTGCCTACCCCTGACATAGAATAATAGAGTTGGCAGGGGCCTTGGAGGTCTTCTAGTCCAACCCACTGCTCAAGCAGGGGACCCTATATACCCTTGGTGGCAAACCTATGGCATGTGAGCCACAGGTGGCACTCAGAGCCCTCTCTGTGGGCATGTGTGCCGTCGCCCCAGTCCTAGGCCTTCAGCTGGGTTTTATAAAACTTTTTCGCTTTAGGCTTCCACCACCGTGTGCAAAAAAAAAAAGGTTCAATCAATCAGTCAATTTCAACTTCTTGCGGGGAAAAAAAAGATCTCGCAAAGTTGGAATTGATTGATTGAACTTTTTAGTCCCACCCAGTCTGCCGTTACCACTGCAGCCATGCCCACCCAATGGGCCACGCCCACCCAATGGGCCACACCCACCCAATGGGCCACGCCCACCCGGCACCCGACGATACATAAGTAGGTTTTGGGTTGCAGTTTGGGCACTCGGTCTCTAAAAGGTTCGCCATCACTGCTATATATCATTTCAGACAAATTGTTGTCCAGTCTCTTTTTTGAAAGCCCCCCCAGCTTCTAAAGGCAAGCCATTCCATTGGTTGATTGCTCTCACCATTAGGACATTTTCCCTTCGTTCTAAGTTGCTTCTCTCCTTGGTTAGTTTCCACCCATTTTTTTTTTCTTGTCTTGCCTTTTGGTGCTTTGGAAAATAGTTTGATTCCCCTCGTCTTTGTAGGAACCCCTCAAATATTGAAACACTGCTATCATGTCACCCCCTGTTCCTTCATTAGACTACATCTCCAATTCCTGTAACCATTCTTCGTGTGTTTTAATTTCCAGCCCCCTGATCATTTGTGTTGCTCTTCTCTGCACTCTTTCCAGAGTCTCAACATCTTTTTTTTATATTGCGGGGACAAGTACTGGATGCAGTATTCCAAGTGTGGCCGTACTACGGCTTTGTGAAGTGATACTAATACTTCACGTGAGGTAGTCCTTTATTTATGTAAGAAAAGAGCAAGCTGATCTGGAAGGTGGGGTTAAACATGTCATTAGTGTAGAGCAGGGGTAGTCAACCTTGGCTCTTTTATGACTCGTGGACTTCAACTCCCAGAATTCCTGAGCCAGCACAGCTGGCTCAGGAATTCTGGAGTTGAAGTCCACGAGTCATAAAAGAGCCAAGATTGACTACCCCTGGTGTAGAGTCATTGCGTTGCCCCAAGAGACCTAATTCCAGCCCCCCTCCCATTAATTCCGTTGACCCTTATCTAGCAGCCATTCAGATTTGACCATTAATTGACTAAATTCTTGCATTAGAGGTAGCAGTAATACATTATTCTGTATCTTGAACTCAACTAATCTTTCTGGTTATTTGCACCTGGCATTAATCTAGAAGAGAAGAGTTTATTGTTGCTATCTCTCATAGAAGGATCTAGTCGGTCACACTGACTAGTCAAGGTTGGCAAAAGAGAATATTATTGGAAGAAGAGAAAATCAAGCATAGCTACTATGTGGATTACAGAATTGTTGTTGTTAGTTGCGAAGTCGTGTCCCACCCATCGCAACCCCATGGACAACGTTCCTCCAGGCCTTCCTGTCCTCTACCATCTTCTGGAGTCCATTGAAGCTCACGCCTACTACTTCAGGGACTCCATCCAGCCACCTCATTCTCTGTCATTGTCCCCTTCTTCTATTGCCCTCCATCTTTCCCAGCATGAGACTCTTCTCCAGTAAGTCCTTCCTTCTCATTAGGTGGCCAGAATTATAGAAACTAATTGTTATAGACTGTTTTTTTTTTAAAATATAAACCCAGACAACATGCTGTTTACCAAATATTAAGGTGATTATGTTAAAAAAATCAATAAAATATATATTTTTAAAAAGGATCTAGTCAGTCACAGAGGGCTGGACTTAAATCTCTTGGGGCAACACAATGACTACAAATCCGCCTTCCAGCTCAGCTTGCTCTTCTCCTACACTTCTGATCATTCATTTAGCAACTGTTTGAAGTTACAAGAGTGCTGATGGGTCCTTGCAGTTACGACCACCACCGTGTCCCTGTGGTTGTGTGATGACGATTTGCCACAGGGCAGTGTCAGTTACAAAAGCCGCAGTGTCGTGGGATCACCATTTGGGACCTTCCCAGCTGGATTCCGACAAGCAAAGTCAATGGGGAAGCGGGCAGGGAAGACTGCCAGTCGTGATCCTGTGATGTTTCGCTTAACAACTGCTGCAAAAAGAGTTGTGCAATTGGCTGTGGTTATGGGATGACTCGCTTCATGCCTGCACCACTTAATGATACTGTATCTGTTGTGTTTGTAAGTTGAGGACTACCTGTAGAACCATTGATTCATTGCTGCTCAGATTGGCCCCTGTTTGCAAGTGGAGGGAATTCTCTGTTCCATAAAGCAGGCATGAGATCAACAAGCTGATCAAATTAAGACATTTGCAGTCATTTGTTTATGGATCAAAGTAGAAGATGATCAGAAGGACACACTTATTCCAGTATTTAGGGAAATTGGGCTTCAGGAAAAAACAAATTTGTATGGGAAAGCTCTCCTAAGGAATAGGAATACTGGAGGAAACATAATTATTATAATTCTATAATTATAATTCTTGAAAGTTGGACCATAAGAAAGGCTGAGCGACAAAGAATGGAGGCCTTTGAACGATGGTGCTGGAGAAGACTCCTGCGAGTCCCCTGGACTGCAAGGCAATCAAACCGGTCAGACCTAGAAGAGATCAACCCCGACTGCTCTTTAGAAGGCCAGATCCTGAAGTTGAAACTCAAGTACTTTGGCCACCTAATGAGAAGGAAGGACTCCCTGGAGAAGAGCCTCATGCTGGGACAGATGGAGGGCAAGAGAAGAAGGGGACGACAGAGAATGAGGTGGCTGGATGGAGTCACCGAAGCAGTAGACGTGAACTTAAATGGATTCCAGAAGATGGTAGAGGACAGGAAGACCTGGAGGAACGTTGTCCATGGGGTTGCGATGGGTCGGACACGACTTCGCAATTAACAACAACAATTATAATTCTATAATTATAATAATAAAGGCTAATAAAGTGGCTTTTTTTTTCCTTAGCAGGGCCTATGTGCCTTTAATTGGAAGCTTCCTGCCTGGTGCCTTTCAATTGTATTGATAATATAATTTGAATTCCAGCCAATGGCCAAGCTGTCCATGAATTCTGATCGTCAAAATGGGTTATCTTTATTACATTAAAAAAAAATCTTTCTTAATTTTATTATCTACTTTGAGTGCCTCTTAGAACATAAATTTAATCGCCATAGATCAACTGTGGCGACATACAAGAATGACTAAATAAATTGAGCTGGAAATGCTTTTGAGAGTGGCAGTCTAAGCTGCTGTCCCCAAAACAGGCCCGCAGTGCTAGGTGTGCGTTTTGTTTTGGTCACGTTGATTAGAAAAAGAGATTCCTCTGTTTTTCTCAAGCTCTTTTTCTGAGCATCCCCATTTCCCTTCCCGGACTGGATTTCCGTCGCCCCTTAATTAAATCTTCACATCCCAACTTCACTTAGGTTATCTCTCCTTCTGAATAATATTGTGGGCCAGTTTGAAAGCCCTCCTTTCCAAAAAGCCCTCCTTTTCAGGCTTACTTTTATCTTTTTATTTTTATTTAATGGTTGGTTACCAAACCAAGAATGAATTGCAGGATCCAATTTGGGTCGGTCACCAGAACCAGCGGTTTGGTCTTCCGAGCTTTTGGATCCGGGCTGGAGCCGGTCCTCAGGGAACATCTTGCTCACCAGAAGGTATGCTCTGTGCTGACCACCAGATTGCAAGAACACAAGTGAGCAGTCAGACGAGGAGACCCAAACTCATTGGTAGCCTCAAATTGCAATGAACAAGGACGTACATTCAATTTCGCACCTACTCAGATTGTTGGCCGAGCAGACACAAAAACAGCCAGGGAAATGATTGAAGCCTGGGAAACGGGCCACATAACAGTCAACAGGAGTGCTGATTTACTACCAGCTTATCAGATGCTTAGGAAACTGAGGATTTGGCAGCACAAGGAAACAACAGCCAATAACAAGCCATCAACATCCCAATCAACCATAAAGCTACACACAGCCAGGCACCACATAAATACTACGCATAGAATTGCCCAAAGCACAAATTCTGATAGAGATAAGTTCCCTGAGGATGGCTTCAGCATGAGTCCAAAAGCTTCAAAGACTAAAAGTTTGGTCCTGGTAACTGACCCAGATTGGATCCTACGACGTTACCCTGGGACATGTATATTTGCTTTCATTCGCAAATGAATTGTTTAAGCCATGGTTCTGTTAATGTGTGATAGGTGTTGGATCAACCTTCTCAATTCCCCAAAGTATTTTTTCATGGTACAGAATAGAGGTGGGAATCACCTGGTGTCCTCCTTTCCATCTACTACTATGTCCATCTGATGTGTTTCCACAACACATCTACCACTAGGAACATAAAAGAGTTAAACCTAGAATAACTCAAGGCCAGTCCCTTTGGAAATGTCAATGCTAATTAGCTGTGGTATTGTTTCTGGAGAGGTCTATGGTTCTTGACATATATAAATATATAGAAAATATAAGGAAGGAAGGAAGGA